ATCTGGCCTCTTTCAGTTAGCATATTTTTAAGGTCCATCCACATTGTAGCATATATCAGTAGTTTGTCTCATTTTATTATTGAATTCCTTTTTTAAAAAAATATATTTTATTGATTTTTTACAGAGAGGAAGAGAGAGGGATAGAGAGTTAGAAACATCGATGAGAGAGAATCATCGATCAGTGCCTCTTGCACACCCCTACTGGGGATATGCCTGCAACCAAGGTACATGCCCTTGACCGGAATCGAACCTGGGACCTTTCAGTCTGCAGGCCGACGCTCTATCCACTGAGCCAAATCAGTCCCGGCTATTACTGAATTCTTTTAAAAGTTATTTACGTTTTGAGGCAACACTGAATGGGTTGAAGGAACCCTGGTCCCCTGCCCTGCCTCTGATTGGCTGAGTGACCTCTGGCAAGTCCTTGCCTTGACTGGGCATCAATTTATCTGTAAAATGAGGGGACTAGATCATATATAGTCTCTGGTGTCTATTCTAATGCTTATAAAAAATATAACTTTTGTATTTTTCACGGAATGTGCCACTAGGTCCAGATTCCACGGTTACTCTTTACCTGTTTTAAAACTTTTGCCAGTTCCTTTATTGCCAAGGATGAGGGATCTTAATTTTAAAAAGGCTACAGTTTATCAAGAAAATTCATTTGCCACCAAGAGAGAGGAAAAGAAGAGTTAAGGAGTAAATGAAGTCAGAATGAAGGAAAATGAACAAGTGAGATAACTCAGCCAGAGGACAGAAAGTGGTGGTAGGCCACAGCAAGGGGAAAATGTGTCAGACAAGGTCCCGAAGGTCAAAATCCAGGCCATCTGGTTACCTTGGGAGTCAGAGGGAAGGGATAGAGAGGGAGGTCACCAGAGTGGGAGACTTGTTTAGGTCTAGGCCCCGCCTCCCTACTCTGTTCCCATAACCTCATTCATTCCCTCAACCCTCCTTCCCAATCCCTCTCAGGCTGCTCTGCTCCTTCAGTTCTGACCCCATTTCCTCAGGATCTCATTCCCTGAGGATCGAGGCCTGACATTTCAGACAGAAGCTGAAGAAAGGAGGTAGGTCGGAAAGACACTGTGTGTCTGCGTCATCTTATTTTCTGTTTTATAATTCTGGAACCCTGGGGGCCAAAGACGTAAGCACTTAGACATTTACCAAGAAGTCCAACCCCCCCCAGGCATCAAGGAATATCAGAACTTCTTTATTCTCTGCTGAACAATTGCTAATGAGTATCAGATTTTGGGGGGTAAAATGATGATTTGGAATTCCCATTTTTGTTAGTTGTTGTGCCATAAATGCACAGAGTGTCCTGAAAGTAGGACTGGTTCCTTCAGACCTGGAAAACTTTTCTTGGCTATGACAACCCTAGTCTTCTTTAAATTCAGTAGCCAGCAGGATCAGGCTTCTCTGCTGACCCTCTGATCTGCCAGAACCCCCGACAGCCTTTCATCCTTGGTAGTCCCTCAGACTCCTACGACTTATAAGACCCTTGGGGCTTAAAAGTACTGCTTGGGGAGTGGCTATTCCTCTGACACACACCTGTAGAGAAAATAACTCCAATTCCTTGAATCCCCATTTACTGTGACATCTGTGGACAGCCCAAGAGCAGGCTGGGATCAAGGAACTAAGTAAGCATTTGCTGTTGGAACCATCTGAGGCAAGTCATTCTCTTACAGATGAAAAACAATGTATTGGTATATGCAGTTATCCACTTCTGATGTTTATGGGTGCCTGCCTGTGACCCAAAGTCCCTGAAAACAGGAACCAGGTCATGTCTCAATTAGCATAGCCTATAGCCCAGTACCACTTCTGCAAACAGGCTTCAAGACTTGCTGGGCTGTGAACTCCAGAGTAGAGAGCATGTCTCTGAACATGATTAGGGCTTAGTTCTGTGTCACATATTGGTCATTTCACTAAATTTGTGATGAGTAAATTAATGGCAGTTGTGTTGATAAGTATGACGGGATGGTGACAAAGGTTTCTTTTAAGCTAAACGATGCTTTTTAAGGCAAGGCATCTCCCCTTAGCAGTGCACATCCATCCCAAAGCTATAGTTTTTTTTTATGGGAGGAAACAGGCGTTGATCTTCAGAATGAAGTCTTTATCCTCCCATCATGCCCATGCCAGGAGAAGCTATCAGTGATAGAGAAAGCAATAAGAGACAGCTGGTTGGACATGATACCTGGTTAGTGAGAGGACAGGGATCTCCTAGCCTCCCTGCCTTCTCACTCCTTCAGCTAGGTCAACTTGAGTGTCTTTTGCCAGCAACTTATCAGGAAGAACCAGGACTCTCTGGACTCAGAAGATCCAATTCTTCAGCTGTGCCGCCTCCACAGCCTCTTCTTCCACTGTCCAGGTCCTCAATTCCTCATAACTTGGCTTTGAAACAAACTTTAAATCTCATGTCCTTGAGACTACCCACATTACTCTTCTCTCCAAGGGAAGAGTGCAGCTATCCAATACTATGCCATTTTATCTTTACAACAGTGATTCTTGTATAAAGAAAGGGTACCACTTGCCCAAAGTATTTCATGATTCTTAATTCCAGGGCCTTTACTTCTATCATGCATTGTATGGCTCAAACAATAATAATTAAAAAATCAGCCCTGGCCAGTGTGGTTCAATTGGTGAGTGTTGTCCTATTCACCAAAAAGTGGTGGATTCGATTCCCAGTCATTGCAGGTACCCATGTTGTGGGTTTAATCTCCAGTCGAGGTGTGTATGGGAGGCAACCGATCGATCAGTGTTTCTCACATTAATGTTTCTCCCTCTCTCTCTCCCCTTTCCTCTCTCGAATAAATTTTTATTTTTAAAAATATATTTTACTGATTTTTTAAATTTATTTTTTACAGAGAGGAAGGGAAAGGGATAGAGAGTTAGAAACATTGAGGAGAGAGAAACATCAATCAGCTGCCTTCTGCACAGCCCCCACTGGTTTGGCTCAGTGGACAGAGCGCTGGCCTGCAGACTGAAGGTTTCCAGGTACATGCCCTTGACCGGAATTGAACCTGGAAACCTTCAGTCTCCAGTGAGGGGTAGAATAAAATTTTAAAAATCACTCAGTATCTCCTAAGACTACCTGAGAATTGAGGAATGTTATAAATTGGAAGATTTAAAAATATTTTTTATTGATTTTAGAGAGAGGAAGGGAGAGGGATAGAGAGATAGAAACATCTGTGAGAGAGAAACATCGATTGGCTGCCTCCTGCACACTCCCCACCGGGGATTGAGCCCAAAACCCTGGACATGTGTCCTGACCTGGAATTGAACCCTTACCTCCTAGTTCATGGGCTGACACTCAACCCATACTGGCTGGGCTAAATTGGAAGATTTTCTAAAAAACTGAGTTAAATTTATAAAGAATGAGTTTTTAACAGTTCATCAGTTTGTGATCTTTCCTATCTGCCTCTGGTAAAGTTGTCCTCTTCATGGAAAAAGAGTACAGCATTTCCCAGTCAATAAAGAAAGATTTCACATGTCAGATCTTATAGTAAATCCTTCAAACCTTCAAGAGTACACTCTGCAAAGAAAACCTTCCTTCAGGATGTTCCACTGCCTCAGTTTGTTCTGTGTAGGCTGGTTTTAATATCCAACCAACTCTTGAATTTCCACTTTGGGTATTATCTGTTTTAATATTTAATCCCAGAATGACCTCTTCTTGCCTTGCAACATGCTCCCAGATTACCTCCTCTTCCTTGATTAGTTAGTATAGCTTCAGGGAATATCTTTATTTTAACATTAAACTGGGAAAAACCAAAAATAGAAAGATAAATTTGTAGCAAGATCAAAATTAGAGTTCAAAGCTAAATATAAATCAGGAGGGAATTGTCCAATTACTTGGATGGTCCCTTACTGCAGACAGTCCAGGGTTGATTGTCTTTTGCTTTTTCTATATATAGAACATGGTTAATAAATGTCAAAGGTAATAATTTTTTTTCTTTTAAAGAGTAATTTTAATAGTGACTCAAATGCTGTTTTCTTTCTCAAATGTCTTCATATATATTCTAACATGTGATTTTCACAACTACAGTTATTCTCTTTGAGGACTAACTATTCTCATTTTGATTTGTAGGTCAGAGAGCATTGGACACCAGGATTTAGAATGGAATCACTGTGCAAATTTGGGCAAGTTTTTCAGTCACTTTGTTCCTTCCACTCTACTGAGCTAGACTTGAAATGGATGACTCTAAAGAGAAATTTTTGATTCTTTATAGTCTAAATTTAATTTGCAGGCTAGCAGTATGTGTGTGTGTGTGTGTGTTTAGGTAGGACCAACACCAAGTACGAAGTTGGAAACTTGGAGGAAGACAAAGGTGGGTGTTACATGAGGCACGGTAGCCATTAAGTGCACGAATGTAACGCAAATCGCATGCAAATGTATGCAAACTTTGCAATAATTTGTATACTTTGGCATTGAAAGCAGCACTGAAATCCTGAGATCTCAAAACTGATGTTTTTAGATTAAACGAAAAGTAGTGCTCTTTTAGGGTATCGCTTTCTTGATGCTTGCCAGGACTCACTCACCTGCTGAAAGTTTGACACTCTTCCCTACCCCCCATGATGATTTCAATGTCTGATTCCATCTTACGCCTGGTCCCGCCCTGCTCAGTCTGACGTCACGTGACACCGTATTTGCATACTACCTGGGACTGGGCGTGATGCTCCCCTTTCCTGCGTCTTCTCATTGGGGGCGCTGGAGAACCAGCCCTCTTCTGGGCGGACCAATCCGTGGTCCCTCGGACATGCAAAAGCAGGCGGAGGCGGGGCGGGGGCGGGGTTTTGGGTTGGATCGCTAGACGTATTAACCAATTACCCTCTGGGAAGGGATGATCAAGCCGGGGATTGGCTGAGAGGAGAGGCCTGGGAATCCGTAGGCCAATGAGCGCTCCGGGTTGAAGGGGCCGGTCTCTGCCTCGGAGGGCAGATAAGCAGCCGCGACGGGGGTTGGGGGCTGTGTGGGGCTCGCTGTGGGGCCAGGCGGGCGGGCAGGCGGGCGGGCGATGGCGGGGGCCGCAGCGGGCGGCAGAGGCGGAGGTGCCTGGGGGCCGGGGCGCGGAGGGTCAGGAGGACTCCGGCGGGGCTGCTCTCCCCCTGCCCCCGCCGGCTCCCCCCGGGCTGGGCTGCAGCCGCTCAGGGCCACGGTCCCCTTCCAGCTGCAGCAGCCGCACCAGCGCCGGGACGGGGGTGGCCCCGCAGGTGAGCTGGGCCCGGAGCGGGTGCCGGGGAGGAGCCGTTGGGGGAGGGGGCGCGGGCGGGGGGAGGAGTGTGGGAAGAAGTGTGAGGGACGAGTGGCCGGGGGCGAGGGGAGAGGAAAGAGGTCGCGCAGAGTCTGAGGGGGCGGCGGGGGCGAGAGCGAGGAGCCGCGAACTCGGGGTGCACCGCCGGGACGGGGTGCGGGGTGCTGGGGCCGGGAGCCGAGGGGAGGGACCTGGCAGATGGAGGTTGGCTTTGGGGGCGTAACCGAAAAGTGGCTGAAGTGCCGTGTGGGGGTGAGTGGAAGGCGCCGGGTAGCAGCGAGCCGTGAGGAGGGAGCGAGCGGCGCCTGATGGGGGCGCCCTGCGCGGGGTGGGCGCTGGGCGTCCGCACGCGGAGGGGGAAGGGCATGGAGGAGAGTCCGCCGGAGCCATGTGTTACTTGAGTTCGGCCCCATCACCCGCTCTCCAGCGTGGCGTTCCTTTCCTCCCCACTCCTCTGCGCTTCCCTTGTGCCACCTCCCGCAGCTGATTTCATCCGAGTCGCTGGATGCGTTAGTTTACGGCTTTGACCACAGTAAAAACGCTCCGCGCCTAGTCCCTAAATTCCTCTCGTCCCGAAGTTGTATGTCCTCAGATCATAGACATGCTTCATATGGCTGCCTCATCCCAACCATCGTGTGTGTGTGTGTGTGTGTGTGTGTGTGTGTGTGTGTGTGAGAGAGAGAGAGAGAGAGAGAGAGAGAGAGAGAGAGAGAGAGAGAGAGAGACGGGCAGTCCCGTTCCTTCCCCCTCTCCTCCCCCCACACACACCGTTTCCTCCTCTCCCCTCCTAGGCCGTTTTGTCCTGGGCATTGTCAGCCAACGTGGCGGTGGGATGAGGGCTACAATCAAGTGCACTGTGGCAAATACCCCACTTTCTGAGCAGCACTGAGCCGGTGTCTTAATAGCAGCTTGGTGTTGGTGCGGGAAACTAGGAGGGAGTAAGCTTACCTGACTTTCACACTCAAGCTGTGATGGTCGTTGCTCCCTCCTCCTCCCAGACGCAGGCAGTTAGGAATAGGAAAGGGCACCTACTTGCATGAAGAAGCTGGCAATAAGTTGAAAGTGAGGCTTGCATTTGATTCACACCATATGTGAAAAGATCATTGCACACTTCCAAAGCCTCAGAGTCTACCAAATGTACAAAAGTCATGGTCTCTGCCATCTAACAGTTGATGACATTCTCTACCCAGAGTTTCTTGAGCTTAGTTCCTACAGGTCCCCCTCCTGGAAGCATAGCGATTGAGAGGGTCTCTGAAGTAGAGAGCCGAGTCTCTCCGGACCTCATTGTGAATGTTAGCGTTGCATCTTGGAATGCAGAAATTTGGTTGAATCTGGTGGCAAGATGGTGACCAACGAGTAAAATTATGCCTAGAATCTGGTGGTGTAGAGCAAAGCAATGCTCAGACAAACGCATGCCTATCATGAGCTGTAAAGTAAACCACAGGACTGCAAACCTGTTGGTTTCGTTTAGGCTTCCTTGGAATCCAGGGAACTTGGTATAACAGCAAGCACCAGAACCTTAGTCACTTTTAGTAGAAATCAATAGAAAGCCGGCCTGTGTGCTAGCTAGATATCGATTAGCAGTAATATTTTAAGAGCAGTTATTCTGTGTCTACCATAGCATTTACATTAAGAAGGTAATGCTGGCGAGTGCTGAGGAAAGGAGGTGAGTGTAGGTTTGGATGGCTGGGCTCTTTACATGACCTGTTCCTTTGGTAGGGCCAGGGGCTCTAAGACACGGGTAGAAACATAGGAAACTAGAGTTCGGCATTGTTAGATTATTTAGGACAAGGTGGGTGGTCTTTTGCATAAGGATTGGGCCGATGGATTATTTCTTCACCTAATGATATCCCAGCAGCGGCATTGATAAAGTGCTTACTTAGTGTGTAGTAGGATTATCTGTAGGTTTTCAGTGAGGCAGGAGAGAGAGAGGATAGAAGAGGGGAGGGGTGGCCTGATCCGAGGACTCCTTTGTGGCCAGACGTTAAGGAAGTGCACCTGGCCTTTGGTTAGGGAGCACATCAGGTCTTTTGACCGTTAACTTGAACCTCTGTGTGTGTTCAGATCGTTTCCATTCTTTGTCCTTGAGAAGTGGTTTTCTGTAGGCCATATGTGCTAGAAGGAAACATCTTGCAGTCATAAACCCTTAAGAGAATGGCTTTGGGTGCCAGAATGCCTGGGTTTTGAATCCAGGTTCTGCTCCTTACCAGCTATGTGGTTTAGAGGGGGTTACTTAACTGTTGTGCCTCAATTTTCCTCATCCGCAAAATGTGGATAATACTATCAACATCATGGGAATCCTATGAGGTAATAGGGACAAAGTGCTTACAACAGTGCTTGTCCCATAGACGGTGCTATGAAAGTGTTTGCTGCTGCTTATGTTGTTGTTATTCTTTCCACCTAGCCAGGGGAGAGCACTGTTGGCCAGAGCTCCATTGCCTTTCCAGGCTTCAAAGAGCAAACCCATATCGGTCTGAAACCAGTACTGCAGGTTTCAGCATCTCAGGGCCTCCCTCTGCACTTTCGTTCCCTCATCTCTTAAAATGAGCTTTTTAAAACGGGGCTCTGAAACCCAACTGTCTAAAAAGGCAGGTGAGCTGGGCTGGGTTTCAGGGACAATTAGGTGTCGTCACTGTTTCTGTTTCCCATCTCAGAGCGATGTGGTGCTCAGCACCGCGCAGTTATCTCCCCATCACACACCCTGTTGTGTTCTTGACGAGATGTATGAGACCTTGTAAAGAAAGTTATGATGTAAAGAGCAGGATTTACCTTCTGTGCCCACTCATTCATAAGGGATGTCTTCATAAAGTAAGGAATGGCTTCATTTTATGAGCCTGGGCTAGGGATGTGGAAGGCAGAAGAGAGGAGAGGGAAAAATAAAGGTCAGCTCGAAGAAAGCTAAGAGCCACTCGTGGGTAATAGAAAAACCCAGGATAAATGTCTTATTGGAATTCCTCCTTTAATTAAATTATCCTTTGTGTCTTACGTCTCTTGGAAGCTGTTAATGTTCATGCGCTTCCAGGACCAATGATGATGGACAAAATGGTAGTAAGAGGTACAATTGTTTGGGTTCCAGTCTTCTTATCCTGTTAAGTGTCTCTGTCTCCACATCCTTAGAAGGAAGCTAATGTTGACTCCAGCCTTGCACACTCTTCTCCAGGGGGCTGGCCCCACTGGAGGCGGGTGGGTGCTGGGGAAGCCAAATGCTGCCTCTGTGCCTCCTCTGCCCACCAGCCTTCCTTAAGCCAGAGGTTGGCAGTTAGGGCCTACAGGCTCAGTCCAGGTCTCTGCCTGCTTCTGTAAATACTGCTTTACAGGACACAGTCATGCTCCTTCATTTACGTGTTGTCTGTGGCTGCTTTTGAACAACAATGACAGAGTTGAGTAGCTTCGATATAGGCCCTTTGGCTTGCAAGACAAAAATATTTAGTACTACTTGGCACTTTAAAAAAAAAAAAGTGAGCCTATCTTTGTCTTAAACAGTGTTCCTGACCATTATTCCTATATAAAGATCAATTTCAGGGGGAAAAAAAAAGAAAAGAAAAAAGATCAGTTTCAAATGGGTGTAGTACACACCTCCTCAGAAAATCTTAGGGAGGTAAAGAAAACTAATAAGCCTGTGTTGCCGAGGCCGGTTTGGCTCAGTGGATAGAGGGTCGACCTGCGGACTGAAGGGTCCCAGGTTCAATTCCGGTCAAGGGCATGTACCTTGGTTGCGGGCACATCCCCGGTGGGGTGTGTGCAGGAGGCAAGCTGATCGATGTTTCTCATCGATGTTTCTGGCTCTCTATCTCTCTCCCTTCCTCTTTATAAAGAATAAATAAAATATATATTTAAAAAATAATAATAATAAGCCTGTGTCCCCACACACATTTTAGGGGGAAAGCAAAGGGTTATTAGCTTCCAGTCCTCAATCTTTGTGGAAGATTAGCTCATGTGAATCCAGGCTGCCCACCCCCACCATTTTCAGGTGACATACGTTCAATAGACAGACTAATCTGGATTTACATAAAATCTTAACTGTTAGGCAAATGTGTGCCCCCTTCCCACTGACCCGCCTTGCAAACCTAACAGCTCACAACTGCAGTAAGCACATTTTAAAATCAGATGGAAATTACTTTAAGCTTATCTCCTGTTTTGGATATTTCTTGTTACCTTTTCTTTTTCTGAACACATCATTGTGGAGCTGGCAGTAGTCACAGCTGCCCTAAAAGACTGGCTTCCCCACAGGGACCTAGGAAGGGTTGATTTGAAAGGTTTTCCAAGATGGTTGTGTCATTGAATATAAGGCAGCATTGTTATCAGCAGTGCTGTTGGTAATTATTAAGCTTTTTTCCTTGCAATGCTTTGAAAACTTAGTTCTTGGGGGATGGGTGCTTAGATAGTGTGGAACCACATAGAGAAGGTTGCTTATGGGAGACCCTGGGAGGAAGCTCTCATCAAACCACGGTCCTTTTGGACCCTGGTGCCAGAAACAGCCTGGAGATTAAAATAGAATGCAACTTTTCTATGCCAAAGAGCCATCTTGCTATACTGAAGTTTGGGGGTGCAGTTTCTTTACCTCTTTTAAGAGCTGCAATTATTCTTTAAAACCCTGTAGTGAGGTATCTTCTGTTTGTGAAGTATTAACCACAGGCACTTCCCAGCCTGACACTGCTAACTTGCTTTTGACAGTTTTGCTGGTACCAGGTACCTGGTCAGCAAAATGCACTGCTGAAATATCTGACTTAAATGTTACCAGCAAGGGCATTCTTAAAATGGGGGGCCACAGTGCCTATCTGCTTTATCCTAAAGGCCTGGGTCCATGTATTCTTCAGTATTTTGGATAGCAAATTATGTACATACTAGAGGCCTGGTGCATGAAATTCATGCACAGGTGAGGCCCCTAGGCCTGGCCAGCAATTGAAGCACAAGCTTCTGGCATGGAAGGGCAGGTTCCAGCTGACCTCTGGGCCTTGG